GCCTCAGAAGGAAGTCTGCAGCATTTCTCAAAAGTATTTAAACAAGAAGATGACAAAATTGAATGAAATAAAATCAGATACCTCAGTGCTTAATACGCCTATCTTGTAGCTAAAAACACAAATCCCAACTTTTTGGGGAAAGTGAAACATAAGTAAACTAATATGGCACAAGGTAATACAAGATTCTGAAATTTCTGATGTGATATCATTCAAAACAGAAAATGTAACTGGATGAATAATTTGTATCGCTCTGACTCCTTGAAAATTATTTACTATTCTCAAACAAGTGTCAAAATCTTTACTTCTAATTCCACAAAAACTAATGTCAGAGCAGAAAGTCTTGGATAGCACTTCAATTTTCTGAGTGCTGTACAGTAATATGTCCACATGTGATACAGACCAACCCAGAAAGCAGAAGACTGGACTGCTTTAGAGTGACAGTTAGCTGCCAAGCAGGAGCACCTTTTAGTGTAATTATATGCTTCCCCTGCATTTTATTATGGTGACATAAAAGCGTATCTACATAAAAGAAATCCCAAAATACTTTACAGTAAATCCTAGGCTGGTAAAAGAGCCACCTCAATCAGGGATATACATTCCCCTCTCATTCTGGCTCTGCACACCTCTAAAGCTCTCTCTGCTCAGCCATTTTATACCTGCAGTGCTAAGCATGCCAAATATCGACATGAATATGGATCACACACACTCAAAACACACACCTCTTCATGTACAGAACTAATTTCCCAATGAAGTCAACCATACATGGAGGGCATAGCCAGTATATCCATAAAGATGACAAAACACATTTGACCAGAAGCTACTGAAAATGGCTTGTGATACTGACAGGTGCCAAATATCTGAACAGGGGCAACAATTACTTCCATATTGTATGGATACCGGTAGTCCTAAGAAGCAAAAAATTCAAACAAAGAAGAAAGGCTGTGACAACTCACCAGGTTCCAAGTCAAGAATCATATCCAAAGCTTGACGATAGTGGGGAACTTGCTCATTGAGACCAGTTAAGTTGAACTTGTCTTGGATGTAGTCCTCATCCACCTAGAAGAAGAAACAGAACACTTCAGTTAACCAGAATGCATGCAACTGGAACTCTCAAGCAACCATACAAATCTTAAAAAGCAATTATTCAAATAAATAAATAACATCATTTTTATAAAACAGCAAAATTGTGTGGCATTACGCAAATTTTGTTTTTATTTTTAATTTGACTTCCATTGCTTTAGTGCTATAGTATGAGGTATAGTATTATTAGGACTATATTTAATAGTAATTCTTAAGCAATCAAACACTACATTTATCTGGAATCTGCCAAACCCCATGAGTGCTGCTTAATTGAGAACGTACTTTATATAGTCGGCAAATTCCAGAATGAACACGAGTAGTTATTATGACTGCTGACATCCCTTCAGTTTCAAAAATATCTTCCAAGAACTATTTCCTGAAGAACTCCACAATTTTAACTAACTTGTGAGACTGTTTTCACAGGGATCCTTGTACAATGCCAAGCCCTTCTTCACTGCATATCCCAGGCTCTATATTTAATAGAATCTTGAAAAGGTAGACCTTCCAACCTCCCAGCCCCACATGCACCTCGTGCGGGTGCCTCTTCCCCACTCACCTCGCAGAAGAACTCATTGCCACGCAAGCCACAGAACCAGGAAATCCAGGAAACCTCTTCAGAGCTACTCATCTTCCCGCC